TCCTTCGAAATAATGTGGGCAGATATACCGTGTCTGGTATATAACGGGATTTATTTGGGACTGCTCAGAGGTGCATATAAAATTGGATGGTAAATGTCAAATTGCACTCCCAAAGCTCTACAAACTGGAACGTGCAAAGCAATACCGACTTTTTGTTAGCTGCGTCTCTATACATTTTGCTCCACCACACCTGCAGACGAAATTCTTTCATATTATCGATTACTATATATATTTATATTATATACTGCTTATGTTTTAAGAAATGACTTGTTGAGCACTCAAAAATAACATAACAACCTGACAAATTTCGCCTCTACGGAAATTAAGTGGGTTTTCTAAATAAATAAAAACCGTCGTTGATGTGCTGTTTTTGTGTGCATTCACGTTTTCATTATAACGCTTTCCAATTGAGGTTGAACACATTCATGCTCTGTCGGTGTTATTTTGCATTTTTAATGGAGGAGAGGCACAATAACGCTTGTGAAGATTATCTCAATATTTAGTATTGCTATTAGGGACTTACCCGATAAAAAAACTGGCCAAATTGATGATCGGGTTGCCAACAAATTTGAGACAAAAAAACCAGCGCTACAAAATATTTGATTTGGCATCTATGACACGAAAATAAGTGTTCTCATCGCAAAACCAAAAGTCACTTTCGTGCCATTAATACGGCCTTGTAACATCACCACCAGCCATGATGTATCCACTACTTCGGGAAAGCTTCTCCACAATTCATCCAGCTCATGCGCATGAGCGCCCTTCCTGGTAGAACCACGATCGTGCCTATCCGTGCCCTGCTGTCTCATCGCGGCCGAAGTATGTGAAGAGAAGAAACTGGCATGTGCATGTAGGCAGTCCATGCGGGATTATTTATCACACCCCGAAGAGACAGACCACTGAATCTCCCTACCCTCCTTCATTTTGAATCGGCCGTCAATCGGAGCGCAACTGGCCAATCGAGCCATTCAATTTGATTGGTCTTACTCCTCGCCAAATCGGCATTGCCACGGAGCCAATTTAAGATTATCCGTGTTCAAGTTCAAGCATCAACGGTGGTGAGATTATGTCGTGAGAGACTGTGCTTTTCGTATGTCAGGGTTATATTTCAATGTCCCGACAGACGTAGTCGGTATGCGCCTGGCGTGAGAAACTACAGTTGGTGATGACTAGTTCCAAGGACAAACGCATGTTGGAAATGGTTGTGAAACCCATACATGTGATTGTTATTAACTTGTGGTTAATCATTTGACAACGCTGCTTACAGTAAACGATCCTCAAGGTATCATTTTTCAAAGCTACGTGTCCTTTGTTTTATGGCTACACATAAGTCATACATATGGTCAACAGTAGTATTACTGTGTTAATCATTCTATGGTACGGCAAGAGCCGTCCCTCGGGTGTGGCGAATCGGGGCGACCGACCCGGGTCCCACAGCTTTGGGGGGCCCTGCGCTTCGACTTCACGGTGTTAGATGTAATACTTCCGGTTTCAAATCCATTTTGTATGTTCATATTTTTATTTTCTAATTGAATCATTAAAATAAAGTAAACACTGTAACAAATGTTTAAACAGATGTCATGTTGCTAGATATTTTTAACGATTAAACTACTCTATTGCCTCGAGTTCCCTGGCTAGCTATTGCCTGGGCCCCTCCACCCGAACAATTAACTTTTGTTAGTTGACTGCGGGTCGTCACCACCGAAACTCGCTGGGTACCCGGCTAAACGGGATTTTCCTGTCTAACAAGAAAATTTTGAGTTGAAAGAGTGGGAGAATAGGTGGGATTAATGAATTATTATGGAAGACTGACACGGTTAATTTAAAATTGCTCGAACTTTCCCATGTGTGCTATTAATGTTATTCTTTCGCCAGAATATTTTTCAAGTTCCCAATAATATTTTCTTAAAACCTCACAAGACATATTAACTTTGTATTTTATTACATAAAGCAGATTAGTTTTAGAGCTCCGAGTACAACGTGTTCCAGATGTCTTGTGACCTCCATTTAATTATCTAAAACCTAATATAGAGAGATAGGGGTCCAAGCCAAAATAGAACCAAACTCAATGTCTAATTGTGTGTTTATCCTCAGATTGAGTCAATCCTAAGCCCAGACCAGATATTTCACTTGAAGTTTCCACTTGAGGTGGCATAACTTTAGTGGTTCCAATTACTGTGTGACCAATAACATTGAATTGTTGAAACCACTTAAAATCAATGCGTTATCTAATGCAGTCTTATTCGCCATGCACAGTACTGTATATGCATTGGTTCTACAGGAATAACGTTTGAATACTTTTGGTGGTACCAACTTGTGCTCTAGTCCAATAGGGTGAGTGGGTGTTGGCATGGCCATGGGTTTATCAGTAGCTCGTTTTTTTTTTTTCAAATAACAAACAAACGTTATTTACCTGTGATATTTCATTCTTGAAAGTTTTGCAATTCGTGTGAAAATAAATAAATAAATCAATGCAACACAGAACAAAATACAGCATGTGAGTGCAAACGGGTTTCAGTGTATCATTATGTATTACAGGTTAGTCCCATTAAATTATGACAATTCCATTCGTCCCACAGTCACTATCCTCATATTTGGAGCAGTCTGGTTCAAGTCTCTATAAAACACATTCCTGCGGAGGGAGCTGGTATAAACGTTGGGTTGCTCGGTCAATGGTCAGGGTCAACGGCGGCGTGGTGTATTCCTAAAATATGCCCGACTGTGAGGGCGGGCACAAGCCGGCGTGAGTAGATTAAACGTTGAGTTTTATAAGGGCACCACGGGGTGACCAGCCCCTCCCCACCCAGCCCCACCCTTCCCACCCCCCACCCAGCCCCACCCTCCCCACCCAGCCCCTCCCACCCCACCCAGCCCATCCCTCCCCACCCAGCCCCTCCCTGCACGACGGACGCAATACTCCCCTGTGGGCTAGTGTAACCAGGAGGTTCCTACCAGTATATCTAATCGAACACTGTCCGCCCACTCTCCACCCTGCTCAGCTTTCATCTGATGCGCTAGTTTCGTCCGTTCCATACATTCTCACTCCCAACTCCAATCCTGTCTCCCTCCACATACACACCCCCTCATTAAATCCACCTGATGTCATTAGCAGCTAACTATCCCCATCCCTCGGGCGCTTCTCGTATAATTTACTCTAACCACTAACCGTCCCCTTCACGTGTGCATTATCAACATTATTTACGCCACAATTACACGAACACCAGTTACATCTCATCATCCCCATTCTACAACGTGGTCCAGATGTCTTGTGATCCACATTTGACCCCTCACATTTTTTTCCTTTGCATATTCATTAAGATTTTAAATAAACCTTACTTTAAAAATATTCAGTTGTAGCGATATGAAATGGGGGTCGCAAGACATCTTGACCACCTTTTACTTACGAACACCCTTTACGTATTTAGTTTCCTTTAATTCCCGAATGGCTTATTCGAGACCCAAACATTGTAAATTCCTGGCTTTTAATATTCGTCGAAGAGACTGGTGCAATCACCAACCGCATCAGAACATCGCCAATCCAATGCACAACAGCTCCTCACGAACGGGAAATTAAAGACGAAAGCCAACAATAGGTGAGATTGTGAGATTGTGGCCATGCAACCCAAACCATGGCCCACATCGTGAATAAACCCACTGCAAGTCTGAGCTCCTGAACGGCGGAAATAGCAATAGTATACCAACTCTCTCTCCCCTAAAGCCCTCTCGTTACCAAAAGACCGCGACATTGGCATTTGGCTACCTGAATATATTGCCAAACGCAAGAAAATTATTCCTCGAATATCTTTAGAATATTCATGGATATATCGTTTCATCCCGGTTAGTGTTGTCTCCTATCTGCTGCAGCACATAATAGCATTACATCAATGTACCTCAGTGCAGTACCCACTGCAACCTTATTCGGTTTATTGAATTGCTCATCAAACCCTTCGTTATACTTTGTCATCAACTATAATAATATTATTATTTTTATTTGTGTTTTATTTGTGTTCGTAACAATTCATATTTTGAGAATAGGGTTTCCCCTTTTTTCTGGCAACAAAACAGGTGTTACGATCTTCTTGGTTCTTTCGGTAAAGTCACGTAGAAGGGAAATAATAAAAATAAAACATAATAAAATAAAAATTCTCACGAACGTTTCGGCCACAACACAAGCAGCCGTCCTCAGGTGAAGAAACAGAGCTGTGTGGTGGTGTGGTGGGGTGGTGGTGTGGTGGGTGAAGGGCGGGTGGTGTGGTGGGTGGGGGTGGTGGTGGATTTTGCCCAGTTCCTGGACTTACGAACTCTAACACTTTGACATCGCAACAATCGTTTACTCTGCCAGCCCTTTGGTGGTGGGGGGGTGAAGGGCGGGTGGTGGTGGTGGGGGGGTGAAGGGTGAAGTGGGTGGTGGGGGGTGAAGGGCGGGTGGTGGTGGTGGGGGTGAAGGGGGTGGTGGTAGTGGGGGGGGGGTGAAGGGTGAAGTGGGTGGTGGGGGGTGAAGGGCGGGTGGTGGTAGTGGGGGGGGTGAAGAGCGGGTGGGGGGGTTGAAGGGCGGGTGGTAGTGGGGGGGTTGAAGGGGGTGGTGGTGGGAGGGTGAAGGGGGTGGTGGTGGGGGTGAAGGGCGGGTGGGGGGGGGTGAAGGGCGGGTAGGGGTGGGGGGGTGAAGTGGGTGGTGGTGGTGGGGGGTGAAGGGCGGGTGGGGGTGGTGGGGGGGTGAAGGGGGTGGTGGTGGGGGGGTGAAAGGCGAGTGGTGGTAGTGGGGGGGGGGTTGAAGGGCGGGTGGTGGTGGGGGGGGGGTGAAGGGGGTGGTGGTGGGGGGGGTGAAGGGGGTGGTGGGGGGGTGAAAGGCGAGGGGGGAGGGGCGAGGCGAGGGGGGAGGGGGGAGGAGCCCAGAGCCCTCTCGCTGGGCCCTCTGCGCCGGCCTGGGAAGTGACACCGCCACCCGCCCGCCACCATCCGGCCACGAGCAGCAGCTGATTTGTCAGAGCTGGAGCCACGCCTCTGCACGTTCAAGACGCTTGCTTATCCGGCGTACCGTGGAGCTTGGAGTGCGGGTGGTGTGCAGAAGCAGCACCAGCAGCAAGCAAGCAAGCGGCTGCGTCTAAAGCCTCCGCCAAGTCGGCTTAGAAGCAGCTTACAAATTGGAGAGAGAGCTGGGAGGACTGCCACGAAACATGGCTGGTACGTTCGTTGTTGTTGTTGTTGTTTGGTGATTGACGCTGGGTTTTTTGTATTTTAGAACTAGCGTTGCTGTGTCGTGAACAAAATGGTGATGTGATTTTTCGTCTGTGTACACGTTAGGGGTTTTGCTGCATGAATGATTCTCTGTGTCTCTCTGTCTCTCGTGCTACATTAGGCGCAGTCGTAATGCCGTCACCGCTGCTTTAAAACAAACCTGTTGACTTTTGCCGATTCACAGCTTTACCTTGTGTGGTGCCGTGGCCGGTGAATGTGGACGCAAGAGTAATTAACTATGCAAGGATGGAGAGCCGTTTGAAGATGCTGAATATTAAATGCGCATGTGGTAGTCCTCCTCACTTGTATGGACTGCTGTGTAGTATTTCGCCTTTTAACGTGTGCGTGTGTTTTTGCAGCGAACTGAAATACGTGGGCCTTAGCTGGGGTGGGTTTTTTTCGCCCCCACTCCATTTCCTTTCGTGTGACGACGACATACCGACAAGCCTCTGCTGTCAGTACGCGGAAGTCATTGAATTTCAGATGGTCACGGGTGCATCCCTGCAGTGTAAATTCTTAAATCTATTTTAGACTTTTTTATGTATATAAAGATCTCCAAAACATGTGCGTGAAGTGTTTTTTTTCTGGTTTTTAAGATGGCAATATTGTACAGCAGTTGAAAAAAAAACTCCATGTCATAACTATTCTTGGTTCTTTCGGTAAAGTCACGTAGAAGGGAAATAATACAAAATAAAACATAGTAAAAGGAAATTCTCACGACGTTTCGGCCACAACGCAAGCAGCCGTCCTCAGGTGAAGAAACAGAGCTTTTTACCGAAAGAACCAATAATATGAATCTCTGCAGTCACGAAAGCTTTAAGTCGAAATGTCATAACTATTTTTTTTCCACGAGCCTTTGAACATTTTCTCATCGTTCATTGCAGGAACAACTCATTATCCGCACATTTTTTCACAGACGAGTTCATCAGATCGATGGCACGTGGTGCTTCGGACACTGCACTATGAACTTGGGCGATCCAAGTTCAATACCTGGCCATTGCTAATGTCGAGTTCTATCTTATCATGGTTTTGGACACCCGTCCTTCACGAACCCCACCACTGTCAAGCGTGGTGACATGGTCAAATAACCCCAATGACTGACCCAGCCGAGTGAAGCCTTCATCCAGCAGTGGACTGACAAAATGGCTGTAATTTATGTAATGGGTTCACAGACCCCTGCCATGCATCCACCAGAGTGCAATGCCCTTCACTTATCCGTTATGATTCCTAAATTAGCAGGAGCGGTGAATGCCTCTAACTCTTAAAATGTACAAAATGCACACCCTACCCCCAGATGAAAACCCTAGGTGCCAGGCGATGTAGCACCGGTGTGACGAACGCAATGTATTGCAATATCAGCAGCTGATATACAAATCCAGGTAACTTCATCAGAGCCTCTCCACAGACTGTCAACTTTGCTGAAAATAAATTATTGTGTTAAGAGCATGACTAGGGAGCAAAACAGAGCATGTCTGTTGTGCCATATACCCTTCACGTGTTACACAATGCCTTAATAAGGGCTCGCCAACAACACATGCCCCAGCAGATGATACTGCTGTTAATACTGCGCATGTGTTCGTGGTTGTGCTTTGTAGCTCGCAAATGTTTTCAGGGTGTTCATCATGATGTCCGTGTTGTTCCACCTGGTAGGAGATTGTTCAGGGGCTGTGGAATCTGATCTCTGACCAATGGTGTGTACTGTGATTGTTGTGTTACTGCATGATCTAAGCAGGTAATCAGGATTCAAGCACAAGGCGACCTAAATTTAAGAGCCTTACAGGCGTAGCTAACAACTCGATGATGGAGTACATTATCTCTCACTCTCTGCGTGAACACCCAGCTCTTGAAAAACTCCGCAATGTAAGTGTCCTAAGTTGTCCAGTTCTCGTGTTAAGGCAAACTGTAAAGGTTGCTTTAAGCCTAGTTCATGGGAAAATAGTCAAATCACCGATATTTTGTGTTAGATTTTTACTTTTCAGCCAATTTGTTTTTCCACCAACTTAAGAATGGTCCTAGAGTTATTTTCTTAAGTTTTAGGCTGTTTAGGAACTTGTTAAATTTCCAACCAGCTGCAATGGCTACTACCGGGCTTATCAAGCAAGCTTGCCTGAACATTTTCAGGCAGTCGTTTTTATTGTTGTCGGGCAATCCGCCTGCATTTTAAGCTGCCTAATTATTGGCCTCCAGCGTTTCAGGCGATCCACTCTATTTTATTCGTAAATATTTTAAACGGCACAGACATCGGACAGAATGAGGATACAAATGATTGCCGTGATCGGAATAAACAAGTCGCTCTGGAGGAGCCCCTAGTTCTGATCTACTGTATATGGCAGGGAAGGGAAGCAGAGGGAAGGGAAATGAAAGGAGATTTTTTAAAATCACTAGTAACATCTGGGGACCATTGCAAATTTAAACCAAATTCCCACTTTAATATCCAAATTAAGCATATTTTTCAAGGCAAAAGTTACATCAGAAATTTATTTTTTCATGCTAATCACAGGCACATCTACCAATTGCACTCATTGGTGTGTGCTTTGCAAACAGTACTCGCCAGTGCCAACCTATTTAGCTGGTCTTCAAATGGGAGCTTCAATGCTATCTCAGGGTGCTTGCATGTGTGTGCATGTATAACCCAGAATAATGGCTCCCATAGTTTTCTGCATGTTTTCTGCATTCTCGTTGCATGATAAACAGTTGCTTTGTAATAAACTAGCGATGCCCTGCTTGGGTGCAAAACCTCTGAACGAGAAATGTTTGTGCCAAAGAACAAGCACAAAGGGTGCTCTGGCATTCACAATGTGATCTCTGCTTTTATTCCACAAGTGCACGATGCAACACCCAGCGAGTGTAATGATGGTGGCTTGTGAACAGTCCCAATTTATGGCCAATCTTTTGAGGCTCATCGGGGGAAAGAAAGCCATCGAAGTTGGTGAGTGGATTTTGCAACAGTGCAGAATGACTTGCACAATATTCAACGTGATGTTGCGTAACATTTAATTCAATAATATTACATTAGCTACGTAAAATATAAAAGTAAATGTATCGACATAAATAATTGGAACATTGTGTTCGTGTTAAAGCCGATTCAATACACGCTAACAAACGGCTATGTATTGGTTTTGTACATTTCCGAAGGTGTTTATACAGGATACAACACGCTAAGTATTGCTCTGGCTCTTCCTGACGACGGGAAAATAGTGGCCTGTGACATTACAGAGGAATTCCCCAACATAGGGAAGCCATATTGGAAGGAGGTAAGCACTACCTAGATTAGCCTCGATGCTATCGTTAGCCATGATCAATCCACTGCTGGATGAAGGCCAGATTATCCATGAATGGTTGAGTGTATTGGCCACAATGTGGTTGCTGCAGTGTGATTTATAATACAAGCACCTGCCCATTGAAAAAGTATAACATGTATTGATTTCATAATCATTGTGTATTTTTACAATTTGGTAATGAACTTACAGTTTTATCTTTAAGCAGGGGCTAGCATGCTGTAATACATACCTGGTAACCTGTAACCTGAGGTTGGCTCACAGCCACGGCTAACATCCATAGCGAGTTTCTGAACCAATCCAAGGCCACCCTCCCTTCGGAAACCTGTACCGACCAGTATGGTCGGCTTCTTTCGTATGGTGATGTGTGGTCAAAAAACCACCACAACTGACAGGTCGTGGATAATGTCACCCAGCAGTGGATTGACAAAGTGCTATAAATTATAATATTATATGGAGTATCAAAAAAGGTGCATATGTAACAAGCGATAATGCAATCTTGTTTATATCCTAACCATGCTAGACACCAAATATTTCTAGTTTCATCACTTCTGTAATAAACCATGCATTAAGCATGATTGTGGTTAACACTACTTGTGTTATAAACCAAACATTAAGCATGTTTGTCCTTCACATAACTGATATTTGTTCCTTTCTATTCACAGGCAGGTGTAGAGCACAAAATTGACCTTCGAATAAAGCCTGCCAGTGCGACATTGGGTAAGTAAATTAAAATTTGTATTAAATATTCTGCAATGCACTGTAAGCATAATTAAAATTGGAAGTCTCACTGCACATTGAACACACGTTGAATAATAAAGAGCACAACACTGGATTTTGAATCCAGTTTGCATATCAGTAAATAAATGGCACAACGTTTGAATCCCCCCCCCCCACCTCTGTGCAACAACCAATAGTATAGATGGATACACGAGCCAATCGCATGGTCATGTATGTTGAGATAAAGTGTGGGTACTTCCAACTCCTTTGAAGATGTCTGGCCAGTCTCGAAGAGTTGTCAAAAATAATTCTCGAGTGCAGTGGTTGTTAACCTGGGGTGTATGCGCCCTCTTTGGGAGCGAGATGCCCTTTCTAAGAACCGAAGGGGGGATGCGGGCTGCAGTCAACGTGAAGAACCACTGCTCTGATGGGTTTCTTTAGAGCTTGCAGGAGTGAATGTCCTTCTGTCGGCAGTGATGTGAACAAGCAATCGTACGGCTGCACTTTGAAGATTGTAGGTCCTAAAAATTCCGTGTCTTACGCGTCTGCCCACGAATTGCTCGTGATTTCTTGTTTTATTTACCGTCATGGACAGATGAGCTCCTTGCTGCCGGAGAGGAAGGAACTTACGACTTCGCATTTATTGATGCGGACAAAGAAGGCTACGTTAACTATTATGAAAAATGCCTGCGCCTGATAAGAAAGGGTGGCATTGTTGCCATTGACAATGTAAGTATCGACCGAGTTACGAAAGTAAAATCCATAATGTGCTGCTTTAAAATGTACTTAAGAGTTGATATTAAGAAAAAAATAATGCAAGTAAAGCAATAAATACCATTATGGGCTAATAGCACATCAAATCAAGATAGCACACCAAAGTATCAGTATTTTTTTGCTGGGATATTTTTCAAATATCCCCGTGTAATATTCTTGGTTCTTTCGGTAAAGTCACGTAGAAGGGAAATAATAAAATAATAAAAATATAAACAATAAAAATTCCAAGCAAGAAAATGTTCTTGCTGTGGATTTTACACCTGATGATGATTGCTTGTGTTGCAGTCGAAACGTCGTGAGAATTTTTATTGTTTTATATTGTTATTATTTTATTATTTCCTTTCTACGTGACTTTACCGAAAGAACCAAGAATATGAATCCCTGCAGTCACGAAAGCTTTAAATCAAAATCCCCGTGTAAGTTAATACGTAGAAAATATTCTCAGCATAATGAATGTGTCAACTAACACAGGGGACTTAGCTTGACTCAATACCGCCATAACAATGTGCACCTTCCACCACTGGTTCAGAGAGAGCTATGAATGGATAATGAGTAGTGCCTCATAACTAATTTGAATAGAATATAACTCTCTATTTGGCCGCCTAATACAGCGGTCCCAGAGTTGGTGTTAACGTTGAATTCGAAATTGACAATGTGATATATTGACAAAATCGGGAAAGTAAAACGATGTCGACAGACGTTTCGGTCATTTTTGTGACGCATCATGTGAACATGCCAGGATGAGGATTCGGAATGTGAGGCAGCCGCAGAAAGGCTGGGAACGGCACCCCACTAATGATGTGCGCTTGGTCTGTATGCACAGGTGATCTGGGGAGGATCTGTGCTGAACCCACGAAAAGATGATGAAGAAACCATGTCGATCTGTCGTCTCAATGACAAGTTGAAGGATGACCAGCGTGTGGACATCAGCATGCTGACCATTGGAGATGGGCTGACTCTGGCCTTCAAGCGTTAACCTCGACATTGTTTTTGTGCTATGGGGAAGAAGGGAGCTTTTTTCAGTGTGAAACTTTGTTCCAGGAGACTATAACTCATCGACAGACACGCAGACGGATGGAGCTGACTCTTTAACTCGGTTCAACCTTCATTGGAAAATGTTAAAATAAAATCATATTAATGTAACATGACCTCATTTATTGACAAAAAAAACAATGCCTTCTCATTGACTGGTAATGTCACAAATTAACTCTCCTTTTGTGCCCACGACATTTCTGAAAACTGGTCTCCTGAAATGTGGTTTTAAGGCACAAGTGACTAATTGTTCTTGTTATATTGAAACATCACCTTACCAATGCCACATTTTTGTGTTAAATGTTTTAACTAAATATATATATTTTTTATTTTACAGTAAATTTAATCTGCAGATAACTTTCTCAACAATGCAAATGGAAATCGTTTGAAAAGATATGTGTGAAAATATAAATCCCTTTTGGTATGCTTACATTTTAAACGTTCTACAAATTTGTCTGCAACAATGACTGGTCACAGTGTGAATTGTTATGATGCTGCTGTGGTGCTATTGTGGAGAAAGTTTTTCGATAATTCATACCTGTGAACACAAATAATTTCAGCATTAGTATATCTATCCAACTGGTTAAGGTGTTGATTTTGAGATCAATGTTCATGTTCATGAGGCTTGTTAGTTTATATATGACGAATTTTGAAAATCTGATTATTAAAAAATGTGTAATGAAGTATTAACATTGCAATTAAGTGGTTCCATTTTCATTATGTAATTAAATCAATTAACTGCGCACAATGTTTATGGAATATGTATGCGGTTGATTTTTTTTTTTTATAATTCTTTGCAAACTCGCTGGAAATTTGTCTTGGTGTTGCCAATAATGTTGCAGGCAGTTGTGATAGTGTAGTCATTCATATGCCATACAAATGTAAACAGAATGCAGTCATCAGGTCTAAAAAAAAGCAGATCTTTAATGAAAATACTAAAGAGGCTTGTGTATTTTTAACAAAAAATTAAATCTGCTTACATTCAACATAAATGCAATAATACATGGCATGTACATGTATTGCCAGTCATGTTGATCATCGGGGTTGTTTGACTCTATATACTGGTACAATAATTGCAGGTTGAAGGGAGCACATGTCATTTGTCAACAGATAACATCAATTGTAACCCCTGAATCAATGGTATTTGCTGTTAACCATTTAATTATCCTTTAAACATTAATATTTTACATCTAAACAAACTGCATCACTTCCGTCATCACATCTCACAGAGACGCACGTTATAACATCGGCAATGGGGGGGTCAAGGTGGTCGGAAATGGTGCTGTTCACACCACCGTGCACTGTTTCAGCCTCGAATAGCTCGCCAACAGCACTTGCCCCAACAGTCTGTTAAGCGCTATGGGAGAACATTCGTCTGATTAGTCGAGTACCGATTATCGGTAATCGATTACTTTAATAATGATCCCAGATATAGTCCAGTGCAAGTTACTTATTTTACATTGAGTTGTCCGAAGCGGGATCCGCACGGGCGATCGACTGCGCTACAAAATCGCTTGACATTGCGCAACCAATTGCCTGCAACTGCTTTGTCCACATCTGAGCGAGTGGTCGCGCAACGAGGAAATTAACAGCCTTTTCGAGATTGCAACGACCAATCTTAGTTTTTGAATGTGCGCGTGATGGAATTACGCGACTACAAATTGCTGAGCGGATATATCTTTTGAAAGCATCGTCTGCCCACCACCGGGCAAAACTGGTCGTCGAGAGAGGTCCACGCATATTCGATTCGGGTTGCGCAGGTGTGGACCCGACCTCAGAAACGGCGACTGATCGGCCCGCAATGAGAGGACGGCAGTGCTCCGTTACCTCGGTGGCCTCCACTTGACCTCGCGATTGTGGTGCCCGCCGGCCACACCTCCTCGTGCCCCCCAAAGTCTGGCACGGGGCCCCCGGCCCTCACCGCGCCGTTGACGGCGGCCTGCTGCCTCTCGACCGTGTAGCTGCTCGACGTTCTGGACGTTCTGATCGTTGGTCGTCGTTTCGTCCGTGGCGGAGTCTGCGTTCGCTCGGAGGAGGCAGCAGAAGTACCTCTTGAAGCCACGTCGGAACTGCGTGTTGAGGACCCCGTACAAGACCGGGTTTATGGCCGAGTTGGTGAGCGTGACGGTGCACACCCAGAGGAACGCTCTGGAGGACAGAAAGGGCTTCCAGTTGTAAACGTTCACGAGTTCTCGGTCTGCTTCGATGAGCCACAGCATGATGTAGATCGGGACCCACATGATGTACAGTGAGATCACCAGAATTATCAGCATCTTGATGAGGCGGAATTCTTTAAAGGAAATTCTGATGCCACCGTTAAGCCGAGCAGGCTCCGCGTTCTGGCGAACACGGATTCTGCTGTCCCTTGCCACCTGATAAAGAGAGCACAACTTAGATTTACGAATGAAACGCGGAAAACGCATTCACTAAACAAAAGTAAACTGTACGTTTCTTTATGGGGACATACACGGAAGACCCAGCACCAGCCCAATGATTACGTGGCATTGGGCATGGCCAGCGATTAAACTAAAAACTATATTTTACCAGATAATTCCCACTGAGCGATATAGCTCTTTTACAGAAGCGACCAGGCCACAAATGTGGCTTATGTTGAGTTTTATAGCAGACAAATACTCTAAACGCACGTTGTTTCTAAATGTGGAGGAAAAAACCGGAGGAGCTGGAGAATAAATCCACGCGACCACAGGGAGAGACGCACGCAAACTCCAAAATAAACAGGTGTCAGGGCAAGATAATTAACATCTCGCCACCGCTGCGCCACAATTGAACATAGATGGCTGGGTTAGTGGAATTCGCTAATCACTGTGCCACTCTGACACATCATGCCTTACTATAGGCTTAAATCATAGTTTGTACCCATCTTCAGGCATCTTATCTCTAAAGGTCAAGGTACAACACCGGCTTTAAAATGCTTGCCCATTTCGATTTAAAGCTTTCGTGACTGCAGGGATTCATCTTCTTGGTTCTTTCGGTAAAGTCACGTAGAAGGGAAACGGCTGCTTGCGTTGTGGCCGAAGCGTCGTGAGAATTATTTTATTATGTTTTATTTTTATTATTTTATTATTTCCCTTCTACGTGACTTTACCGAAAGAACCAAGAAGATGCTTGCCCATTGTTTCAACTGCCGCACCAGGTTTGCCAACATCATGGCAATACACCTCGAAATGCTCATGTCAACAGTCGCTCATGCTGTAAGAATAATAACCTGCCTTGTAAATCCTTTTGTAATTCAACGTGAGGACTGTGGAAGGCACAACCAGCATGCTCAAGAAAATCACCACCAGCCACGACCACGATGTGCCCCTTGTTGGCCACAGGATGGTACAAATGTGCACTTCCTAAAGAAAGAGGGCACAAGACAGCAAGCGTCCATTAAGTATCCCGAACCAGGATGTTGTAATGATACGGGGTGATACATTTATGGATACCCCACGAAAATAATATGGAAAAAGTAACGGAGGAAATCAGCATTTTATGCCTCCCACAAATCTCAATACTGTACAGTCTCCACTTCTGAGATATTTGAACACTCTCTTTAGGATATTAAGCCATTGAACACGATTAAATCACCCGTTGACAGGTAAAAAGGTTCGTTCGAAATAAGTGCAGTATCTATACATGGATCACCCTGTACTATATCTTCCATGCAACGCGATGGAATTCAGCATTGCATTCATATAATAGACACCAACATACAGTGCAACACGTGTAGTTGGAGATGTGGTGGGGCAAGTTTTGCTTATTCTCTACTGCTGTAACCAGGGGCGGAATAATATTAGCAGTCGAGAAGGTGATCTAGGTGTACCCGTACAGCCCAAGTCTCTCAGTCCATTGTTGGATTGTGGCCTCCCCACGCCATGACGTTGTCTCGGGAGTAGTTGCACCAAACTCTACCACGCTGGTTAGCGCAGCTTGGTGAAGGTGGGAGAGTGCAGAGGTACGACCTAAAGCTTTCGTGACTGCAGGAATTCACATTCTTTGGGTCTTTCGGTAAAGTCACGTAGATATGTTCAAAGAAAATCACAAAAAATAAAATACTGATGAGGACCGCTTGTGTTGCGATCGAAACGTCGTACTTTTTTTTTTCTTTGAACCTATATAGGTGACTTTACCGAAAGACCCCAAAAAAAACTGTGCATTTTCCTGCACTTTCACCCGCTCACCAACATGTAGCACAGTCGCACTGCCACCTGTGACAAAGCTGGCAATGCATGATGGTCACCCATCCAATCACTTATCCCGGCTCAACCCGAGCACTGCTTCGCTTGTGAGATGTGGTGGCATTGGTAAATGAGATACCCACATTTTGTTGTGCAATGAAGTGCCATCGTCCGAAACGTTTTTCTTTTAAGGCCACAGTGTTATTGACAATGTTGATTTTTATATTTTCATTATTTTATTATTTTCCTTCTACGTGACTTTACCGAAAGAACCAAGAATATGAATCCCTGCAGTCACGAAAGCTTTAAATCAAAATTTTATGTTGATTCTGTTCATACTCTGTGTACCAATGGCAACGCAGCATCACTAAATAATGTGTTTAATTCATGTAAATTATGTCGTGCAGAAATATAAACTGCGACAGGTGAGATCCATGGAAAGCAAGTGATGAGCATTATACTGTACCTTCCTTACATTTACTGCTTTCATCAATGATAGCGTTCTTTGCTCACCTGTCCTGAACACACTTGACTATTTACCCCTGGGAAATTGTCAACCTGCCGCAGATCGCCTCAAGCCTACTGTTCATAATTAACTAACCTCGCCTCAGGTGCCAAGGTTGTTTTCTGAATTTGGGTCAACATCCTGTCCAATCAGTGAGTTTTTCATTGTAAATGCGTGAACATGACAACACAACTGGCACGCATGTTTTAGGCAACGTGCCTAAAACATGCAAACGTTGCAAACTGGGTAGATGGCATTCTTACTTGTCAGCATTGTTCCCTGAAAAGCGCCATCAATTGAAAACGTCCTTGTTTAATGAGCTGTGCGAGTGGAATATCCTTCGCGCCTCGTGTTGTTTTGCCATGCACTGCGTTTTAAGCATTTAACTAAAGTTGAAAACGTAATGCATTACATTCGTCCATCTGTCTGTGTGTATGTCAACCTGTAACGAGGGAGGCATGTTAACTCTCATAAGGATGATCTCGTATGAATACACTTGTATTATAGAGTTGCGTGGCTATTCAGGTCTTACCCGATTTAATTTGCACAAATTCATTAAAAGGGCTTCTCAAAAAAATTATGAAATCTTGAACCAACGTTGGACCAATGTTGGTCCAACGGTTCCAACCACATGGCTACATTGGTTCTACGTTGCATGTTCATTGGAGTGTTAAAAACATGGGGACACAAACCAAAATAAAACGGACTCTTGACAATAATGTAAACTCATTTTGCCCTGACAGCTGACTATCCGCTTCTATATGCCTGCTATTTAACACTTCTTACGATAAATGCCTCGTCTTATTTTTAATCAGTGTGCTCTGTACTCTTTGTTTTTTTCGGTAAAGTCACGTAGGTAAAAAAAGAAAATAAATTTAATTAAATCACAACGTTTCGGAGGCAACACAAGCTTCCGTCTTCAGGTGACTTTACCGAAAAAACCAAAGAGTATGGACCCTTGTAGTCACGAAAACTTCAAATCCAGTGTGCTCTAGCCACGTGAAACGCGTTCAGAAATGCTCGGGTGCGTGCAGCGTGCAACCACGATTCTCAATGTTTGTATCTCTATAAACGTGGAAAGGTGCACATAACCACCTGTCGATAGAATGTACAGCACTATAGTTCGCGAGGACCTGGGAAGTGTATTGACTTGGTAGTAAGGCGGCGAGATGTTATCTATCTCGCCGGGTATACAGGAGGTCGTGGGTTCCATCCTGACGCCTGTATATTTGGAATTTGCATGTCCTCCCCGTGGCCGAGTCTATTGTCTCCGGTTCTTCCAGTCTTTCCCTCCACATTTAGAAACAACATGTGCGTTTAGAGTCTTTGGCTGCTATACATTTCCGCACGATAAGCCACTCTGTCATTTGTGGCCAGGTCGCTTCTGAAAAATAGCGATATGTGGGCCTTACTTTGTAAAATAAAATCGTGTCTTGTGAAAATCCTTCTTTGGACTTGAAATACGTGGGTGGGTGGGTGGGGGTGGTCTCACCTCGCCAGAGAAGGTGAAGGTCTTCACTTGGAAATAGATGCTGAGAGGCAATGCGCCCACACACGACAGCACCCAGGCAACGCAGATGGAGACGAACAGCTGACCTCGAGTGCGGATGGCTCTCACGTGCGGGGGCAGGATGTGACGAGCTCTGTCGAAGCTGATGAGCGCCATTGTCAAGACGGAGCAGAAGCCACTGCATGCCACACGCCGAAATGTCAAGGTCACATTCCCTGTAATATCTCGGATTGCAAGTCGCACTTTTCACACCGTATTTTCAACCAAAAAGGGGTGGGGGGGCGTCCATAAATGACGTCACGCGATTTTGGACGATTTTTGACCCCCCCCACTTCGTTCGTCACACGGCGTCACTAAAAGTCAGACCCCCCTTCAAAGATGACGTCACAAAGCTCTGCCCCCCCCCCCAAATAATAAAACATGCTTCAAATCGCTTTAAACTATTGTCATTGTAGTGCGTATTTAATGTGGCGCTGCACTCTGATGTCGTAGGAGAAAACATTTATTAAAAAGTCGATTTAATTAAGTAGAACGTGTTGTCTATATTTATTTAAAGTTGCGCATTTTGATGTGACGTCACATTTCTCACCCCCCCCCCCTCGTCACACATCGTCACAAATGTCTGACCCCCCCCCCCCCCCCAGGTGCGTGACGTCATTTATGGACGGACCCTGTGCGCGTCTTGGATCCGGAGAATATATTCTACCGTGCTCGGGAAAGAATGACCTCCTGGAAGATCGTCCTCCACAGCGATACGTGATCACCCGGTGGGGGGTGGACAGTGGAGCGACAACCATCATTTCAGAATCATCCTCCAAACGACTGCTCTCCCCATTTTAAAAGCAGAGCGTTCATAATCATCGGGATGTCTGTCCATCACAAAACCGCGTTCTCCCGAATGATGAAATACATTTATTTTGTGTTTTCAAAAAGACCGCAAAAGTTTGGGGTGCGTCTTATTTTCCGGAGCGTTTTACGATGCAGAGAATGGAGTGTATATAGCTCATATAATGCAATGGACATTTCCATTCGGCGTGTCAAGATCCATCGATCGGTATTGATTAATGTGGCTGCGTGACCTCGAATTGCGTGTACTTGTACAAGAATTGATTTTTGTTAAAGTTCGTATGTCGCCTGCAGCCGCGAGAGGACGCTAAATTCAACTGCAACGTGAATCTTAACAGCGAAAGGTTAATGTTTTACACTCTTAATATGCATGTTCGTATATGTTTTATAAGTGTTAAATTACGTGTTTAAGTGTGAACATTCATATATGAATGGTGCATTATGTTCTGATATGTTATCTGCTTTTACGAGTGTTTTATTTTAATAACCTTAATGAATGGAAGCTACAGTATTCTGCATGTGTATATATATTTTTGAACCCAGTTGCTGAGCACATGCCCAAGGACCAAGGCCGTAGCCATAGAGTCAACATTGGGGGGGACCAAATTTTCCCCCCAGAAAAAAAAATCTCAATTTGAATACTAATTTCCTGCCATTTCCTGCCTAAAATATTAAAAAAATTCACTAACACATAGGATTGACTTTTAATTTATTTTTAACAATAATGTCTAATAGTGTATTGTATTACATTGCTCTGTTTTATCTTTTTTTTTTATCTTTTCTTGTTCCATTGTGTGTAATGGCAGATATTAGGGATTTATAAAGTACAACCATGACCACAATCATATAAACAGAAATCTATTTTATAGCAACATATTGGGGGGGACACATTTTGAGCATATTTGAATATTGGGGGGGATGTGTGTCCCCAATATATATTATAATTACGGCCTTGCCAAAGACCCAAAACTTCAAGCGGCCAGCAACAATGAGCACGCACTTTCACAGTTGCAGTTCATAACAGATCACACGTTCCTTTAATTGAGAAGGTCATGCATACGTCCTTGGGAAAGAGACAATGGAGGGCTAATACAAAGTGGAGCAGAGCAAGGACAGAACCAGAACGAGAAATGGTGTGACCTTCCAGTATAGTGGCGGTGGTGGTTAAACACAGTGCGGATGAGACGAAACAGCATTACCTGTATGATGGGTTTTTACGTACAAGCTGGGAGAGATAATTTCTTACATCGTACAACTGATTGGGGCCCATATGCTAGCTTCGAACAGTGAGAAGCTGTCGAGAAAGGTCGTGTTTTTCAAGGGAGATTTAAACATCCGTAATTAAGACACGGAGAGTGCAGCCAATTGCTTCACTTTAACACGTAGTCGACGGTAATGAATGACCTAGTGCACACGATGACGTGAGTTTATATACACTTCACAGTAAATGGAACACCCTGATTATTATCTGCAGAAATTACCAGCCCGGTGCCTGGATGTACCACTCACCTTGTGCGGAGTACCTATTTAGTTGAGGGTGTTCATTACATTGATAGGTAACAATACAGTATTCCGCAGATTATAATCCATGAAGAAAACGTGCCTAAAACTTGTGCCCAGTGTCAGTGAAGTTATACGAATCTAAACCTACGAGAATCCAGTAACACACACGCAGCTGCCGCATTATAACAGAGGATAATGTATCTTTTAATTCGGAGAATGTGGTATACCACTTGTAAAAAACCCCGCACGGTTCTAGGATGATGTGTCGCTCCAGGCTATAAGGGTTACACAATTGTAAGGAGTATAAAATCGCGTGGTCATTGAGGCTTGGTTACCTGACTGGCTTCCAATCCCTACTGTTCAATCATTAACACATGCATTCAATACAGATGGTCAACACAACATGCGTCCACCGAATTCAGATTGTTTTCCCCCCCAACAAGATCTGAACACAGCTAATGGGCACCTTGCCCACTAACCTTCACAACATCCTGTGGACAAGCCGGCGGCTCAATTATCAATTATCTGGAGACATCCACGAAGCGACATTATATTTCCCGTTATGATATCTCGGGTGGAGCACCCAGTTCCTATCTCTACTACATCTACACGTAATATAATTTAACACAAAGCAGTCAAATTGACTGGCGAGCCGGCACTCGCTGATTCATTTCAGTCATTCACTCACGAGCCATCAGTCGCCTTCTTGCCACTCTTTTCTCGCTATTGTACCATGGTTACTTTTCCCGTGAACTTAAATCCTTCATTCCTCTACTAGACTATCAGGCTGATCTACCACAGACACATGTTGAAGAGGTAACTAGCAGGACCTACCATAGAAACATATTAAATAGGGAATTTTCAAGACCTCCCACAGAGAAATGTTGAAGAGGGTAATCTTGCAGGACCTTCCACAGAGAAATATTGAAGAGGGATCATATAGGACCTACCATAGAAACATATTGAATAGGGAATTTTCAAGACCTCCCACAGAGAAATGTTGAAGAGGGTAATCTTACAGGACCTTCCACAGAGAAATATTGAAGAGGGATCTTACAGGACCTACCATAGAAACATATTGAATAGAGAATTTTCAAGACCTCCCACAGAGAAATGTTGAAGAGGGTAATCTTGCAGGACCTACCACAGAGAAATATTAAAGAGGGATCTTACAGGACCTACCACAGAGACATGTTGAAGAGAGTGATCTTGCAGAGGCCCTTGCCGAGTATCCACGAGCCCGTCCACCTGGTGATGACGATGGCGGGTATGTTCAGCGTGAACACGATGTCCAGAACGGCCAAGTTGGTCACGAGCAGACACGTGGTGGACCTCATGTAGGAGGTCGTGAACACGATCAGGAGCACTGTGACGTTGCCCACAAGGCTCGTAATGAAGATGAGCACCAGGATAGTGGTTTCTGCCGATGCCTCGGCACGCTGATTGTAGACTCCAAAGGTGGAAAAGAAGGTGAAAAACGATTGGTTTCCGTACGGTTCTGCGAAACCTTCCAGGTATGACACGGAGCCCATTTCTTCTGCCGAGTTTGGGACCCACGGCGAGTATTGTGAGGCTATACTAGGAGCTTGCCAGCCAAACCAACTAGCCACAACAAATATTAACTTACACAATTTGGCAAATGTGAAATGGTCGTTAATTGCAGTTGCATTCAATTAGATAAAAAATTAATCTCGGGTCTGGGAGACTAATGGCAACATTGTTTTTTTGTTTCTCTCTTGTAACAAATTGACCCAACACTTACCAAAAAAGAATGTTACCGGCAGACTAGCCTCGAAAAACATGTTCCGCCCAAAAGTGTATCAGCCGTCTCTTGCCAACGACATTGTTATGCAGCGGACTAGTTTCCAAAGACGGCTTTGAAATTTCCGTGACGGGTGAAATAAATGATCGCGGCTTGCAGCAGCATTTCCCTGTGTACTAACAAGGAAGCTTCAGGGCCTCTGCTGCTCTTCTGCCAGTCGGTGACTGGCACATATATACTCGAGCAGTGCGCTATACTTAGTATATGGCGTAGGCGTCATGTTTGGTCACAGATAACATTAGGCTAAAGCGACTGCTGGGGGTCTTCTGTTGGCACAATTGATTGCCGAGATAACGCGTCGACTGTATAACTTCTTTCGCACCGTACGGAGCCAACCGTGCTAAGGCTGACCGCGCGTGGGGACCCACGCTATGACGTTCTGTCTGTTTGCGGAATTCATGATGCAAAAGATGAAGCGTCGCGTAAAGTTTGGAAACGAAAATCTCAAATGCAGTAAATAATTCCCACCGTATGGTATCTGTATAATGGGTGCGATTTTTGTTGTCTTCACTATAGAGAATTGCTTTGAAATAATTCAAAGCCCTTGTCAATCCTCTGCTTGGGGGTTGTCGGAAATAGAGTTTTTGTCACCACACTTCCCCAAACTGATCACTGCGGCTTAGTGGTGGGGGGAGGGGGTTAAATCCGATTAATATATTATCAATATATTACTCGCTACTGATATTAGCCGTGGTTGACGGTAGAATTCAGGACGTTGAGTTAATCGCGCATTGTGCTAATCTCCCTGAAATAAGTGTCATGTTTATCAGCGTTATAACAATAAAAAGTAGTGACAATAACTCCGGATTTCACAACGTTATTCGTTTAAATGACCTGCGCATGCGACTGTGCATTGCCATGCGTGTAGAAACAATATTGATTTTAAAAACCCGGCCATCCAAGGTCAATTTTCGGCCACGGTTTACGTCATTGGCGAGTGATATTTGCACCTGTTTTGCTTCCACCCCCTCCCTTTTAACACCCCCCCTCCACCCTTCACTAACCACAAATGAACAGCGTGGTGAAGTATCACCAAACAACCCCCATAACCCATCAGACACGTCATAAGAACGCCGTAATCCAGCATTTGATTGAAGTCGAATCCATTCGTATTTTTTAGTCGTATAACGACAGCAACAGCTTGATGATGATGTGTTTAAAAAAAAAACACTTATGGCTTTTATATCACCTGCCGTCATTAAGAGTTCAAGGGTCAACTGCAGAAGAAGAAAAAAAACAGAATGTTTTGGAACAATAGTTTGGTAGCCTGAAGGATACCAAATTGTTTCTGTCGTAAAATATGCGTGGCCGTATGCTGCTTACATTTCTCCAACACAGAAACGTCGACATTTAGGGAGATATATTGCACCCATAGACATCGTTTAACTGCGGGCATTCGAGTGTCAATTTACGCGTGAAATGCTCGCCTTGCACAATGCTGCTGGTTATTGTGCGTGTTCCAATGCCAGAGCCAAGCCCGATAATCCAGTTCCAGTGCATCCCAACTGCTCCATTAAGCTTTTTTTTTAATGCCAGCCCGCGTGAGCATCTATAGTCATTGGATGCGTGCTTTGAATATTGTGTGCCTGCTTAATTTGACATCGCAATCGATGTCTGTTTTTGTAGATAGACTGACCATGGATGAAGAGTGGCTGGATTGTCATGAAGATATTATTTGATATTGTCTCATAATAACCATTGCAAAAGTGGAGATTGCTTGTGGTGAATTTCCATAAATTTCAAGGTTATAAGACCAGGTATCTCCAGTTCCTGAGACATCCCGATGTATAGGATAAAATGTACTCTTGTAATATCTAAGCTTGTTTGAGACTGCATAAGTGTTTGGGTGGGCGACCATAATGTGCCAATTGCAGATTTAATAGGCATCGTGAGCAGTAGAGGGCACTGCAGCTAAATGCATTGTTATTCTGCACACATCCCACCTTCAACGAATCCGGGAGAAAAAAACTGAAAACATTCGTCAATAACGTTGCCTGATGAGCGTGGGTCACACGTCAGAGGTCGCAAACGGGTTTTGATTCCTTACACGTACCCGTACCCGGCCGCACCAGGGTCGCAAATGGGTACCCGTACTCGTACCCGGCCGGGTACGGGTACCCGTTCCCTACCCGTACCCGTACCCTACCCGAAATGAGTGACAAACGGTTACTCACCAGTGACTCACGACCTACCCGTTACCCGTACCCGGCCGCACCAGGGTCGCAAATGGGTACCCGTACTCGTACCCGACCGGGTACGGGTACCCGTTCCCTACCCGTACCCTACCCGAAATGAGTGACAAACGGTTACTCACCAGTGACTCACGGCCTACCCGTTACCCGTACCCGGCCGCACCAGGGTCGCAAACGGCCACCCGTACCCGGCCGGGTACGGGTAGCCGGGTATCGGGTAGGGTACGGGTATCGGGTACCCGGTTGCGACCTCTGTCACACGTCCCTCAGGGCGGCAGAGGGCCTCGTCTTGCATTGAATTGCAAAAACGAATTGTGCAGAGACGTTAATCCGATGTTGTTAATATTATCTTAGCTTATTCTATTTCAGTGCTAAAAATAGACACCTGGATTGTGACGAGCCATTAGACTGGGGTTAAACACCGGGCATTGAGGTTTGTTGTTTTAGATTGCTTACAAATGTTTTTGAACGCATACAGGTACACATAGGTAAGGGGTGGAATGGTGGGGCAGTGGTTTGTGCACACTTGCGCTATGAATCCGGCCATCTGAGTTTAATACCTGGCCAATGACGAATAACGAACGTCAGTGAAACTAAACTCGTTCTGAACCTCCCCACTTCAGCAATCTTACACTGACTAGCGTGGTGAATTCTAGATTTGAAGTTTTCGTGACTGTGGTGAAGTATGGTCAAACAACCCCCATGGTCGACGAGTGAATGGGGACACCGTCATGCAGCATTGGAGACAAAGGTATGTACATTAAATAATAATAATCATGATTATAACAATAATTGTTATTGTCTTTGATAAACCTTGTGGATACATAAAGTATACGTTATGTGAGTTGGAGATATATATGGTTAACATATATTTTAAAAAACAACTTCAAACGTATAGCCTATTAAATTGCGATGGAGAGTAGTCACACTCAATCTCGACAATTATATAATCGGAGAACTCCATCATCATCCATGATCAAGCAATACACTGCTGAATCGAGGCCTCCCCTATCCACCACCATCTCTCACGATACTACGATGCAACTATCCACGCAGAACGTAAACACGAATTGATCTTGATTTTAAGCTTTCGTCACTGCAGGAATCCATACTCTTTGGTTCTTTCGGTAAAGTCATGGAAGTAGAAAACTAAAATAATAAAATCAAATCAAAAATAATATTGTATTTTTCTACCTACGTGACTTTACCGAAAGAACCAAAGAGTATGCACTAATTGATCCTCATGGCGGTACCCCGGGCTACCAAATAATACAAAATGGGCCGAGGCAATTCAATATGTTATTTCTGGGACACTATTTTTTCCAGGTGTGTACTTAACTCCACGACTGGGGTATCAATCAATCCCAAATCAGTGCTACTTCAGCGATGTCGAAACGCCGAACATCAGCATAAATATCCGTTATCGAAAAATTATACTTTGAATAGTGCATCGTGTAGAGCTCGTCGAGATGAGTCGATTGCCGCATCGCCGACCATCAACAAACTAAACGTGGCTGCATCACGGACATTATGCGAAAGCCGGGGTTCTAAGGTGACCCCGGGATACCGCCATAAGGTTCAAGTCATTGTCTTCTACCATGTCAGCTGTAACCATCACACACGCGCGTGCTGGTAATATTATTACTTGAAAACTGAAAGAGTGCGATGAATGCACGCACTTTTCGTCAATGCGTCACCAGCAGGGTCTTGCGATTGATTCAGGAAATATCGGTCCACATGCAGGTAATAAACCTGTTACGTATGTGCAAACACGTTGGCATGCGTGGCGACGAGGAGTAGTCGAGGTTATTTGCAGATGGAAATTTCAGAGGTTGACTACAGGTCAGGCACAAGCGTCCATGTGTGTGGTACTGCAATGAACTTGCTGCAATAAAAACACCCTCGTATATTTGAATTTAAAGTCTGAAAAAATAGCCCCAAAAAAACATAAGGTTATGTGTAATGTATATATGCCAATGTGTATTGCTATGATTCACAATTCATCAGCTCAGCTGCACGAATACAGATCAGTGTGTATGCTTGTGCAGGCTCCCCTTCTTTCAAAGTGGGTTGAGCTACTCGGGATGGAAGATGCATCGATTATTCAATTGCTATTGAAGAATGTATCACGCTTATCATCAACAGCAGCCATGACCAAGCCACTGCTGGATGAAACCCTCCCCAAGGCAGTCGTTAATTCTAGATTTGAAGCTTTCGTGACTGCAATGATTCATACTCTTAGTTCTTTCGGTAAAGTCACGTAGGTAAAAAATGAAATGTAAAATTAATAAAAAAAAAAAAATCACGACGTTTCGGAGGCAACACAAGCTTCCGTCTTCAGGTGAAACTGTCACAGATTTTTTGCTGTGACAGTTTCACCTGAAGACGGAAGCTTGTGTTGCCTCCGAAACGACGTGATTTTATTGTTTTTATTTTTTATTAATTTTAATTTCATTTTTTACCTACGTGACTTTACCGAAAGAACTAAGAGTATCAGTCGTTAATTCTCGCGGTCCTGAAACGCAAAAAATCATTGAGATCTAGCACACGACACAATCTACCTGATGGACGAAGGCCACCCCACGCCATGCCAATCAGTCATGGAGGTTGTTTGTCCACACTTCACCACAATGGTAAATACGGGTTAATGAATGCATGTTGTCTATTGAGGATGGGTGTTCCCGGACCGATTAAAATATGATGTTATCCGTGGCGGGGAATCGATTCACATCCCCGAGAATTCATAGTGAGTGTGCTACCTCCTGCGCCACTGTTTATATCTCATCATCTTAAAAGACAAACACGATAGAGCATATACAGCACTCCGTTTTGTGTTCCCGGAAAATAAATAAAAAACGTCTTTTAGTCCTATGGGGTTTCCAGACCAATAAGCGAGCAAACTCTGGACCGGTTTTCAACATTCTGGGTCTCATCAGTAG